GATATCCATCTCTTATTCTGAAGATTTTGAGCTGAATGAGATAAGCAACGAGCTTGTTCCAGAGATATTGTCTCCATGGGATGAAATTTCAGAAATAAATAACCTACCCTTCCAACCTACCCCAACAGCCCTTGTTCAGATACTCCAAGAACACTATTCCAAACCTTTAACCATCCCAGCATTTTTTGATATAAGAGCAGTTGCCAGTATTTTAAAACCTGATTTGCTACCAAAACAGTTTTGAGAAACATGTAACCAAACATTTAGAGCCGCAAACGGTGAAAAATTCTCAATAACCCAAATTAGCAAACCCGTTTTGATAAAACTATTCCCTAAAGTGGTCATCCAGCATAAACTCTTAGAATCCTATTTACCCAACAAAGACCATTTACTTGGATTTGATGTTTTAAATCAAGTAAAGCTTCAATGGACCTCCAGATGATTACACTTTAGAAACATCACCTTACCATGGATAGCCAGTATAGACCAACCATGCACCTTAGAATCAGGGAAACAAAAAATTATATCAGACTGCTGTGCAAATTCCCATTCTGAAGTCCTTAAAAAATGTACCAACCCTTTATGGAAAAACCAGAATTTCTATGTCAAATTACCTTTCAAGAGAAATGAAGACATAAATCCCACAAAAGCTTCCCATAGAGGTTTAAATCCAGATTTGATGGATTAAGCTAAGCTAGAAATACAGGATCTGATAAAGGAACAGTTAATTGAGCCAACCAATTCTCCTTGGGCATGTGAAGCTTTTTATGTAAATAAAAGATCTTCGAAGAAAACTAAGGTTAGTCATCAACTATCAGCCTTTAAATACTTTTCTCTCTGATGATAAATTCCCATTACCTAATCAGATTGCCTTGTTTTCTCAAATCTCTCATGCTCATATATTTTCCAAATTCGATTTGAAATCAGGATTCTGGCAAATACGAATTCACCCTGATGACCGTCCTAAAACAGCTTTCTGTTTACCAAATTACCATTTTCAATGGACGGTTATGGCCTTTGATTTGAAAAATGCACCCACATATTTTCAAAAAGTTTTAACCACCATTTTCGAACCAATCTTAACACAAGCACTGATGTATATAGATGATATATATATATATATATATATATATGTCCCCTTTTATTCCTAAACTTTCCTTGTTCACTAGTCATCTTTATCTATTGCTAAAAAAAAGAGCACCACCATGGACAAGAAAACAGATTGAGTGTGTTCAAGAGCTTAAAAGATTATCTCAAGATTTACCTTATCTAAAAATTGCTTCTTCAAGAAAAAGAATTTTACAAATTGATGCTTCTAATGAATTTTGGGCATGTATCCTACTTGAACAAAAAGATAAAACCAGAATGATATGTGGATACAACAAAGGAAAGTTCAAAGACTCTGAACTCCATTACCATTCAACATTCAAAAAAATCCTTGCAGTAAAAAGAGGAATTGAAAAATTCCAATTTCACTTGATAGGACATACTTTCCTTGTTGAAATGGATTTATCTGTTTTTCCAAATATGCTAAAATTCAAAAATAAGATTCTTCCGAATCCTCAATTACTCAGATGGTCAAATGGGTTTTCTCAATAGAATTTTGAGTACAAGCATATTTCTGGAAAAAACAATATTTTGGCTGATATGTTTTCAAGAAGAAAGTTTTCTGAAGAAACCAGTCTTGCTATTGTTCCCTTCATAGGAGCAACAATCAGACTTGAAGAAGAAACAAATGAAGTTCTTGATGAAATTTACGACATCATTCTCAAAAAAACTATGGAATCCAGAAATGAGAATATGCAACAAAAGATGCATGAAATATTGATCAGAAATCATGGAGATTGTTTTCAAGGAATTCGATGCCATCCTACTTATCCATTTTTATCCCTCTTTCAAACCAGACATTACTATAATATGCCAAAAGAAGCTATTTGTTTCCTCTAGTACCTTACCCAAAACCATCATATATGTTTTAATTTCCATGTAAGAAAATTATTGTCCTACCTCAGACATTGTCATTTCCCACAATAGAACAACTACATCTATCCCAATCCTAGAGCATTCAATTTCTATAAGTTTCTTACAAAACATTACCATTATAATCAATGGATTGAATCCTTTGGTTATCCTCACAAACCCTACATCATTATTGCTTTCCATCAAGACCTTAGACCTCAAATATACCCAGATTGTACCTATTCCACCCAACATCCTTTAATTGAAACCATTGCATGGTATGATTCTAATCTCCTGAATCACTAGCTACTTCAAACAGAATTATGGAAAGAATTGAAAATTCTCATATGCTATATTAATAGAATCCAGCCAGAATAGATTCCCTTAGATATGTATACAAGAAATACAGTATGGACTGATGAAACACCCAGAGGAGCGGCATTATTACATCAGTTACACATATGGCTTGTTGATCATCCCCCTCCCACAGAAACACCAACAGACAGTTCCAGTGATGATACATACATTGGACCCTCTCATAACCCGTCTATTCCTTCTTCACCAAGTTATGATTCTGACGGCTATCCTCTCAATTATGACACATATTGAGCAGAGTCACTGTAGCAGAAACACTGTAGCAGAGTCACTGTAGCAGTAGCATTGTTCAGCACTATTTTGTCGGCAGCACTGTTCAGCACTATTTTGTCGGCAGCACTGTTCAGCACTATTTTGTCAGCAGCACTGTTCAGCACTATTTTGTCGACAGCACTGTTCAACACTATTTTGTCGACAGCACTGTTCATACCTGCCACCTGTCACTGTACATTACCTTTTTACTGTTCATAAGGCCATCTGTCTTGCCCAACTAGGTTTTTTTTTTTTCTTTTTTGGAATCCAGATTTCAAGTCCAGCGTCTATATAAAGCCTCTTTAGACATTCGAAATGGCAGAGCGCTTCTAAAGCCTCTCAGCCTAGTTTTGTTCTTTGGGGTGTACTTCGTTCAAGTTTCACTTCATCTTTTGCTGCTTCTTCTTTTTATGCCTGGAAGATCTTTCCACATCCATCTACTCTTGTATCTTGTTTATAAGTGTGATCCTTAGAAGTTTATAAAATTATATTTTATCAAAAAAATGTTTTTAATATTTTTATAGGTGCACCACAATGAGGAGATGGCACCTACCAAATTTCATATTCATACAATTTATATCAAAAAATTAAAAATAAATTACTCTAAAGTATCAGATCTAAGATTAAACAGTAAGTGGCTCACTTGATCAAAATTAAACGACTGGATGGTAGGGGAAGCATAGATCTTCTATATTAGAGAGGAAGTATATAAACCTTTCCCTATTTTGTTTGAGAAGAGAGGAAAAAGCAGTGTTTGATTGTAAATGCAGAACATCATTTCCCCTTATTTAATGGTTGGATTCCTTTTCCAACCATCAATACCCAAATAGGAAAGAAGGGAAGATTGAGATTTGCTCCAACACAATCATCTTCATCATCAAAACCCTTTCCTAACTAATTGTGGTCGATTATACGAATCCTAAACCGCTATTCTATTCTATTAAAGCAGATATTGTAAGTTCAATATTCATAATAAGTTTTGACAAAATTGTATGCTGGCTGCCCACCTAACACAACCCAACCTTTCTACCAAGGCAGAAAGTTTAAGGTCCTCAACCTTCTTAAGCCTTCATTCCAAGACACTCTTACGACTAAATTATACACTCACTCCCCCGACAAAATATTGCTCAA